TACTATATTCATAAATATTATTTTAAAATTATGTTTTTTTCTGTCGCATGTTTATTGCTTAGAGAATTAGCATAAAAAAAATAAGAAATATAGTACATATATATGCGAGTTTTTAAATTAAATATATAAATATTAAAAATACGTAACTTAGTTTTATCTTTTTACATTTAAAAGGGAAATTAAGTTGCCAAAAATGTCAATTAAATGTCAGCAAAATTTTGATTTACCTAAATATCACTTGATATACTTCAGAAATATTATAAAATGTTGTTTCTGGATTTATATAGCATGCAGCAAGACTGGAGCTGCAACAGGTTGCTCACAGCCCGTTGGCAACCGGAAATCCAGTTATGTAGCTACAGCTTCAGTGATTCCAGAGCAGCAATAACAACAACAGCAGCAACAAAAAATTGGAGCCAAGTATTTGACGCCGCTGGGGCTATCAATGCAATTGAACTCTTGGTAACGGCAATCAACCAGGTAAAGAGAGAGAGAGAGAGAGAGAGAGAGAGAGAGAGAGAGAGAGAGAGAGAGAAAGAATATGCTTCTATATATATAAGTTTATTGATAGGTAAAAACATATTTATACACATATACTTATAGACGAACAAGTAAGACAACTTGCTGAACGTTTTGATACTGTTGGCGAGATCTGTTGAACTCATTTTAATTACAAGTAATCTTTATAAATAGAAAACATGACGAAGACACCCAAGCACGTCAAAGCAGCGACCGTGGAGGCACCGATTTATGCATGAATGCGATGGACAACGACCAAGGCATAGGCATAAATCAATGATGAGCAAGCCTCCATGCCGGGGTGCAGCATCCTCAAGAGGTGGCGGGGCGTGTGTGGAGCGAGCTCCTTCCAACTCGATGCAAACCAAACGTAGAAGCCAAATGCGAAATATGAACTGGCAATGGCCATAAATGAGTAATTGCTGACATTGCCGTTGCGATTGCCATTGCCTCGACTCTGCCTCTCTCTCTCTGCCATTCTGGTCTGGAGTCCGGTTCCATTTTTAGCGGAGACAACAACCCATAAATGTGCGTCCAGCGACAAAGCGCTAAACGCAAGCTGACCAGGCTAAGAAGCGCAGCTATACTCAGTGACCATGCAGGGGTTTGGCTTGGCTCGAGTTGGCTCCACTTGGCATTCAATTACAGGTACAGGTACAGCCCCCATGCCGATTGGAGTTCTGTTGAAAAATGCTCGGTGTCTCGGATACTTGGAGCATTGGCTTGGGCTTGGCTTTTTGGTCTTGAGCGCGAGCGCGCGGCTTCCAGGTAATGTCTCTCTAACGGTATGCCATGATACTTGTTTGTGTCTCTATATCTCCATCTTCTGCCTCAACTTGAACTGCAGCTCCAACACCCAACTCCCAACTCCAACTTTGTCTGCTTTTCTTCTTCTTCTTTATTTTTGTTTCCTATTTGAATCTGGCGTTGCGATGCGCGCGCCTCATGTTGACAAACTCACTTAACAAATCCACAACTACTTATATAACCCGAAGTACAACAAACAGTAATTTTTCTCGCTTCATTGGCATCGTCTGCCGTCAGCCGTCTGTCGTCCGTCGTCTGTCGTTTGCCGGGAAGAAGCCTGTAAAGCGAGCATAAGCATATCGGCGGTTTGTTTAGCCAACTTGTCTCAACCCGGACAGCAGCAAGAGTGTCTCTCTTTCTCTGAGTGAGAGGGGGCGAGGCAGACAGAGGCAACTTAAGACTGGCTGCTGCCAGTTAAGTAAATAGAAATTGAATTGTACAAAGGCCACAGACACTGCCACAACAGAGCAACAGCAGCAGCAGCGGCAGCAGCAGCTACTCGGCATTGTGGCTGGCCGTTGTTTGCCTTGCTCTACAGTTCTTTATAGCCTGGACATGGGCCTGGGTCTGGGTCTGGGGTTGGGACTGGGCGCGGCTGTTGCTATATAGACGGCACTTAATGATGCAAGTATACCAAAATGTGCAACAACAAAAATGTCATGAGCCTAAGTGAATTTCATATCAATAGAGACTCTCCAAACATGATGAAGGATTTCCGTTGTCTATTGATTTCGTTATTGAAATCTGATTTTTGATTAGGCTTTTAATTTTTTTTATTTTTTAATCAGTAAACTAAATGTGGAGTCGGCAAAGCAACAGCTGCGCATAAATGTGAAGATAAATTAAATCTTAGAATATGCTAAACACAAAAATCGACTGTAGATTAATGAAATAAAATTAATATATTCCATATAAAATCTAAGTAATATTTATAAAATAATACTTAT